TGTATTTAGTTTAAGGTTGTTCCTCTCTCTGGGACAAGGCAGGGCTTCTCCTCAACATGCTAAGGACTCTCTGCCACTCCCACAAACTCTTTTATACAGTTTTATTGTCCAAACTTGAGTCAAATCAACAAAAACACAGTTCCTCAACTCATCCTGGGCTACAGCTTCCACGGGCTTTTCCCCCTAGTGTCCTCAGGTTCCTTTTGTCTTCCCTCCCAGGGAACTCTGGCAGTCCTAGTTTCTCCAGGGCTCCCTATTTCCAGGGAGCAGGCAATCATAGCCCCATGTCCACGCACTTTCTCCTTTCTTGATGGTCTCTCAGTCTCACCTCAATGGGTCTCTCCCTATTAACTGCAGGTGCCCTCTTTTAAGCTCAGGTGGGATCAGCTGACCTGGCTCTACTCCTTCTTAAAGGGACAGTGTCATCCTGACCCACATAGCTCATAAAATAATGTATTCAGTCTACAGGAGTTCCAATTTCCTTTCATGTGGGAAGAATACAACACAGACATCAAGAATAGATAGGACATTAAAAATAAGGAAAGACTTTCAAAAGCGAGTAGTGATTTTTGAATGCACAGATTTTGGGGTGTCTCACTATAAAGGGTTTTGGGTTTTTTTAGTTTGATGGGGGCTCAGTGCTTATTGAAAATCAGACTTGCTATGCTACATTGGCTCCCCTGAAACTGAAGCACCCAGAATCCATAGCTACTTTGAAAATGTTTGTTGCTAATATCTACTAATATTTTCAGTGTTAAGAAAATCAATTAATTGCACAATACAGCATCTGGAAATTATCCCTTCTTTACCTATTAATGAAAACAGTTTATCTATAATTGCCTATTAATTGTCCTCTTAAACAGGTAAATGGACATGTTACATTTATATAGATACAGGTGGTGTACCAGAGACTTAAAGATAGAGATCTAAACAGCTGGAAGGCAAGGCAAGAAATAGACTAGGTGGATGATATTCATGCAAGAACAAAACTATCCTGTTGCTTTTTCCCCTGGTGTAATTTGAAATGAAAGACAAGGATTAAGATCTTTTTGTTTTATCCCTTTTTTGGGAAAATAATCTAAATCTTAACTTGGGAGGAGGGCTCATTAGAGTTTTTGCTTTAGCGACTCAATAAAAAAAATGAAATTATTAAAATGCAGATATGCGCTCCTTGAGTTCTGTTTCCAGGAACAAAATATTTAATTTGGAGCTGTTATGCTTTTTGAAGCATCTTCCTGCATATATCTGAAAGATGGCTATTCTCAAATATACTAACTTAGGGTACATAAAATATGTGTGAGACAAACTGGGAATGGGATGAGTGGCCTCCAGAAATAACGTCTATCAGACTGAAAATTCAAGTGCTTTTTTAAAGCAGAGATCAAAGTAATAACAGTGTGGTGTTGGTTGTATTCTGGTGTTTAATTTGGGTCCCTACTTGGGTATTTCTATGACTAAGCAAAACCCAAGCAATAAATGCCCATATTAGTGTAAAATGCATAAAAGGTTTTTGAAAAGTCCCCATTGCCAGTTTAATATGCAACAATATTTCCCTTTGAAAACAAGTGCTTACCAATGATCACATTAGGTCATAGGGGATAGAGAAGTGTGAAAGATAAAACAACTGCAGTCCCCGATAATCAGACACTGCAGGAAGCTATCCTGGTACGTGCTTAAAGATAAAAGTGCCTACACTTGCTATTTCAAATTAGATCTTTCTGGAGCCTAGATAACTTTCCCTTTTTCATTGTGTATTATTTTGGTAGCCACTTTTATGCCTTGGCCTGTCCCTAGTGTTCAGATATGTTTGCTCAGTCCTTGTAAAGAGAGAGATGGTTGTCTCTCCAAATAGTAAACCTACTGTATAGCTCTGCTAAGCTTTCAACTTCAGAGCAACGTTGCAGATACATTTCTCCCTTCCTGGCATTACTACATTAATCCACCAAATCAATTTACTTATCTCAAAGCAGTTCTGCCTAGTAGTTGAGTTCTAGGGCCGGCATCCTGCAACACGAACTTCTGCAGCCACATCAAATCCTATTGAAATTAATAGGACCCCACACTATGCAGAGTTAGCGCATTTGCTTGCAGGGATCAGGACCTAAGGTTGGAGCTACAATGGAATTATAGTAATCTGTTTTGAGGTTAGTGATGGGTGAACAACCAAACATTCAAACTGGATTTTTATCCAGGCTATTAGGGTACTAATACATTTGATAGACAAACAGTCCTATGTAGGATAGAGAAAGAAACTTGCTTGGATGCATAACAGTGCCTGACTGGCTAAGGTCCACTTTTCCACCAGGTGGTTGAGTGGGAAACTGATTTAAGTTTTTTTCAGCACTAACTTCTTCAGTTGCAATCATAAAGGCTGTCAGAAAATGAAAGAGGGGTTCCAGCATGATCCATGGGTCAGAGCAAAGATGAAGCTCTTTCTAATACCATTGTACCTGGAGCATTATTCAATGATTCCCCTAAACTGGCCTGGCCAAAAACACATTTATTGACATAGGTCAAATTCCATCTGAAGTGGAAGACTTTGCTTGTGCATTTGTGGGAAAGAAGTAAATGTTGGCAGAGTGATTAGAGAGCCTTCACCATTATGAACCATGACAGTGGGGTCAACAACGGCATTTCTTAACCTGAAGCAAGTAACCAGTATGGAGATACCAGCTACTGCATGCATGCCTTGTGTGTGTGGCAATGTGAGAGGTGAATCCCTATGGTTGATGGTAGACAATATGATTCTTCGCAGTGCAGTGGACACAGACAGACAGAAAAGTCTAGGAACCTGAAGTCAGTGGAGTTAGAAGTCATCTGAGACCCACAAACATCTGGATCCAGATGTTTCTGAGTGACATCAAATCTTGGTGCAGTATTGTGGAGTGCACAGCACACGGGACAGCATTCAACAGTAGTCATTTGGGCCCTTTCTTCATTGTAGACAATGTTAGAATAATCTTGGAACACTAGTTTTGTTTCTCTTGTAAAATTCTCCTGGAAAACAATTTGCATTTTCCAATTTTTTATAACCTCTTGCATGAAGGTAGTCCCAAATGTGTGCAAGTAGTAGTGATATTTCTAATGAATCCAGTTAAGCAGAGGTGGATACTATTGGACTGTTGATGATAGAATCAGGGATCATGTGCATGTGTGTTTTGGTAGGTTATTTTTGCAAGTCCTTTGCTCATATCTATTGCCTTTGGCTCCAGAGAACAAATGGAACCATAGAAGAGAGGCTCACTTGTGGAAATGTATGGAAAAAGTTGACTTCCTAGGAAGAGGGAACCCAATGAGCACATACAATTTTAAATGCAAAGTAAAAATAAATATATAAATAAAACATCTAAGGATTGCTCCACACATCCAAACAAAGATATTCCTTGTGGGGAGTGTGGAAAGAAACAATAGGTTATCATTTTTTGCTAGGTCTTAAGTAACCACTGCCAGGGGAGGCTACAGGGCCAAGGCCTTCCCATTTTTGAAAGTCCCACTTTTTGCCACAGACCCGGCCCTCCGGCCCTTCCTTTTCCCCTGAAGCCCTCTCCCCACCCTTCTCCCCCAACCAGGCTGGAAGCTGGAACCTGGCCCAGGTAAGAGTGGACCAAGGAGCTAGGGTTGCCAACCCTCCAGGATTGGCCTGGAGTCTCCCGGAATCAGCATTGAACTCCCGGTGACCATTGAAAGCAATCCAGGAGATTTTAATAGGCTATTTAAAGAAAATTACAGTATGTCATGTTGGGGAGTGGGGGAAATATCTCCGGGAATAGCTTCAGTCATAGTTGGAAACCCTATGAGGAGCCCAGGCAGCTGTGGGGCGCTGCGGACCCTGCACCTGCTCGGGGTGGGGGGACCCCAAAAGCAGCCCCGGGCCCGTGTCCATGTCCACCTACCCAGGGCAGGTGGAGGGTCTGTGGCTCCCCACAAGTGCCCACGCGGCTGTTACCCGGTCCCGGCTCTGGTTTCTGGCCTGGCATGAGGGAGGTGCCTGTGGGGCCAAAGAGCCGCAGCCGGGCCATGGTAAGAGCCATGCAGGCATCTGTGCGTAGTGGTGGACCCTCCACCGGCCCTGAGGCCAGGGACATGGGCCGGGGGTTGCTCTCCGGCCCCGTGCCGCAGGGAGGTGGAGGGGCCCGGGCTCCCCAGCCTAGCTCTAGCTTCTGGCTTGGCCTCGGGGGGAAAGAGGGGCGGGGGTGGAGTCACGGAGGGGGCAGGGCCTCGTGGCATCCCCAACTATTAGGAAGACTCTGTTGCCCCTGGCCACGGCTGGTGTTCACTCTTAGTTGTTTCTCCTTTTACATTTTGCTGATGTTGGGGCTGCCTGGCTTCTTGGCCCATGATATCTGTCTAGTCAGTTTGGAAATACTGTAAGAAAAGACTCTCTGTCCAGATGGTTATTATTTTATATAAACAAATTCACTCATCGCCATTGTCACATTTTCCAGACACACGATGACAGATAGACATTCTAAACAATCTAGCAGTTAATTGGAAAGAACTTCTTTTAAACAATCTCCATAATTGGCCATCTAAGTAGGACCTACATACAATGGACCACATCCTGAGATCCTTATCAAGAGCATAATCCTGCAAGCGGACAAATATCCTCAAATTCCCATTGAAATTAATAGGATTTTAGAGCCAATTCAGCTTCTTGCAGGACAGGGCCCTCACTAAGGATTTCAGGATCAAGTCCATAGTTTTGGATTCTTGTTATTGTGTTTGCTCCAATGCATTCTGAAGTAGCAGTTAATACTCCGCAGAGCAATGCCCTACATTGGGACACAAACGGAGAAGAGAAGCAGCCTGTTGGCTTAAGCTTCATTAGAAGCACAGAAAAAAAAAATTGCTAGATGGGAAAGCACAAAGAGGCTTTTATACAAGTGAAAAAGCTAAAACTATTTTTAGAAGACCATGACAATACCCCTTTAAAATGGAAACCGTAGAATCCCTTTTACGGTTCTTCCCACGCCTTTCTTTCCCTGTCCTCACATACTTACAGCTCTGGCAGTGGTTTTCTGTGGGTCCCCAACATCGGCCTGTGCAGGACTTGTGGCATCGTCCACCTGCAGGGTGAAAACAAATAGAGATCAGTTAGAAACAGCTTCAATCTTGGGCCTCTATTGATTCCCTCTTCAAGGGAGGCACTACTGTTGTGATATGAGGATTTATATGCCTTACTGGGGTTGGCAAAACAGAGTCAAGTTAAGTAGCCAGCCCTATGTGTGAAACATGGATGAGGCTGAGGCACATGACACTGGTGCTTAATTTCCTAACTCTACTACCTCTTCTTAAATATATACATTGAATTTGTGGATCTTGAGAACAGATGCTGCTGTACAGAGGAGAAAACCAGACTGGGAACATCTAAGTATATTTTCACCGTTAACTATCCCAAGCAGTGAACTTAATGATCTATGCTGGATCCACCCAACCACACATTACTGGTGGATGCCGCTGCTAGAAATGGTACACAAAAACATCTGAACCCCATAATAGAAAATAAACGTCAATACAAATGAACAAGCAAGCAAACTTCTGGGGAAAAAGGAAAGCAACCGAGTGACTAATAAAGAAATGTGGCCAAATCATTGTTAAAAGATATGGACAGTTTTATTAGCTAAATAGGTTGGGCTTTTTTACTCCCCAAAAGCAACCTATCCTCATTTTTGAGGACTCTTTCATTCTTCATAAAATATAGCTCAGAAAATCTATTAAGCAAGCTTCCATTTAGAGCTTGATCCAGAAGCCCATTAAAGTGAATGGGAGCCTTTCCATGAATGTGTTAATAGCACTAACTTGTAATACTCTTCTCTATACACAAACTTTGGGAATGTTGACAGATCAAATATGACCACATCCCTGTGCTAACACTCTGAACCCTGAAGTTCTAGCCCCAAAGAAAAAGTGTTATTTACTTGGCTAACAGAGCTTGGGCGAAGATATGGTATTTTATTCACATGAAGTCAGAAGGTCATAAGGATTATGTTCTTGAAACCCACTTTCACCACTCTGACATGTATACAGTCTTGATGGCACAATTGATTATATTGTACAGTAATTACACTGTGTGTGCCAACTACCTTGTTGAAAGTAACAGTTCTTTGCTGGACTGAAGTTCATTTAAAGCAATTATGCCTGGAAAGCATTGTTGCTGACATCAGCAGCATATAATTTCCTGTCAGTTTCTGCCATCTGTTTATTTAGATCACAAACACATTATAACTACCTAATGCAAACTCATTCTGGCTGACAGGATGGGGACTCCATCTGGCATGAATAATGCAACTTTAATCAGTAATAACGATAATTATTAGTAAGAGGCTACTGGAGTCCTGTGCAGAAAGCTAATAAATCTAAATTGATTTATAACACTGGAAATTAGAAAAGAGGCTGAGGTGAACAGCAAACGTGGGAAACTTTTAACAGAAGAGACTCTCAGGCAGGGCTCGATTGTGAATAGGTCCATAGGCCCATCCAACTGAATAAGGAGTATTAAGAACCTGCCTTATGCCCCTAGGATATTGGATCCTGCATATCGAACACAGCGGATATTGTAAACCTACTTATTCTCACTCCCACAGAGCAGGAGGGCTAAGTCTTGATTCCACATACAACATCCACACTTGTTAACCAATGCATCTGAGCCAATGCAGGGAGTGTTGAAATTTGCTGCTGGTACAGGAATAAGGGGGAAGCCAGTGAGGAAAGCCATCTCACAGGTGTATCTCTGTGGCACAGTGCCTCCCAGAGTTACTCCTAAGGCAGTGCAGATTATGCTTAAGGTTGTACCTAATGTCACATTGAGTTTAGAGAAGATGGTAGGGAGAAAGCTAATGGAAGTCTTGTGACTATAGCTATTGAACTCTTAGAATACATAGCAGATCATTTGTTAATTGTCTATCCCAGAAGCAGAATGAGATCTTAATCCCCCCCTCCTTTTCTGATTTCTATTCCCACCCTATATTTACTGTACCCACTGGATTTTTCATTGCCATAGTAATATCTGTGGTGAGATAACAGTAGCTTCAGGCTTCATGACAGGTGACCCCTAGCCAATGAATCCTCCTACACTTCTGTGCATGCTGGCATCTTTGAAAGCTCCACATATGAATAAAAGTCTTTGCATCTCAAATTCCTTGGCACCAACACGATCCTTGGTATGGAACCAAAAATTCACTCACCCAGCTCCTTCCATGCTGGAAATAAACATGATTCAGCATGTTCAGAAGTCGTTTTTAAAGAACTTTTAACTAGTCTGTCTGCTTCCTATTACATGACTTTGTTTGGCAGTGTCAGACGATAATTTGCATTTAAATAGAGATATATTTAACAGGAGAGCAGGGGAAAGGCTGCCAGCTCTCTTTTCTCTCATTGGGAGCTCAAAGTGTCTGCTTCATTGTTTTCTCTTCTCTCAGTTACACAGGCAAAATGAGAATCTGAGCATGTAGACAGCACATCTTTGAATTAAATTATCACAAGTCCTTTTGAAGGTCAGATATCAAATACACTGGGAATAAAAAAAGTGGCTTGTCCGTTTTGCTCTTTAGTTGTTAGTGTTAAGAACCTTGGTCCTCTCCCAACATGAACAAGTACTGGCCCAAATTCTGCCCTCAGTTATCCTCATGCAGCTACAAAGACTACAGTGGGTTTGTTTGCACAAGTGTAACTCAGGGAAGAATGTTGTCCTCTAAGGATCTGATTTCTGGAACTCTCTCTCACAAGAGTTGTCCCACTGGAGTGCTCATGAGAGTAAGAAGTATCCATATGAACAAGGATTTGCAAGAATCGATCCAAACGTCAGCTGTTTGAAATTCGTCCCCGGATCCAAAAATAGGGACCTTCCTGCAGAGAAGCCACTGAGGGCATGTCTACACTACGCGCTGGATCGACAGGCAGCGATGGATCCAGCGGGGGTCGATTTATCTCGTCTAGTCTAGATGCAATAAATTGACCACTGAACGCTCTCGCGTCAACTCCGGTACTCCACTGGAGCGAGAAGTGTAGGCGGAGTCGACGGGGGAGCGTTAGCTGTTGACTTACCATAGTGAAGACACCGCGGTAAGTAGATCTAAGTGCAACGACTTCAGCTACGTTATTCATGTAGCTGAAGTTGCGTAACTTAGATCGATCCCCCTCCCAGTGTAGACCAGGCCTCAGAGACAGAGTCTTTTGTTCTTATGTAGTTCTATGTATCACACTACAATGAATTTCAGAAAGGGTCTTGATGGAGACGAGTAGATTTTTAGAAGGGTCACAGTGAGCTGCCAATGAAGAACTGTTTTTTCAGATCAGAGATTTGGGGAATAAAATAGGCAATTCCTTTCATTGTACTCATTGTGTTTATAAAAACCAAAACCCTGCAAGAAGTAGACGGAATCTCTGGGAGACTCCTTGCAGGCTCATGTCAATAAAGAAACGTTAAAGCATGGAAGATTGCCACGTATCCTTGGTGGGGGGGGGTTGGGGAGGGGGGTTTTGCTTTTTTAATAGCAAGGTGGGTTAGGTAAGGAATCACACTTCCTTCCTATGATTTTCTCCATTCATCTTTGCAGATTAGGAGACTGATTTTGCAAGATGTGGAGCATCCTCAAGCATCAGTGGCGAGCACCTTGCAGGATCAAGGCTTATTTGAGGGAGAAAAAGCCCGGATCTGATCATTCATCACATGCATTCTTTGTGCCACCAACTGTTGACGCTCAGCAATTAGCTGGAACCTGGCCAGCAATATGTGATGCAGAGAAAAAAATTCTCAAGCAATTTACCTTGTAAGTGGTTACCTTGCCCATCTGCTCAATTGTCATTCGTTACCAAAGGCAATAACAAAAAAAATCTGTTTCCCAATCTACTTTTGTTTCCTAAGTGACACATGAAAAGGCACCCTCCAAAGGAGCCTGAATCTGTGGTCCCTTCGTTGCCCCTAGTGATGAAAATGTCTGAAGGAGACATCTAGTGATGTCAGCTCCATTTCTATTCCAGAATATTACTGGTGTTCTGCATACATAATGAAGTTTATCATAGAATCAT